GAGCACTATTTCTTGGAACACCGATTTACAATGAATCCTGAGAGTCTTATTTTCTTTACTGATCCCATCTCAATGTGGGTTGTCATCGTGGGCAAAGATCGTAGCTAGGTTTTATCAGAGAATGGAATTCGTTAAATTATCTAGAATGACGAATCAAAACAGAAAGGGATCCTTCGTTTTCTTGAAAAATGCTTCCTTCTATTCTGAATTTTGTATGTGTGTGTGTGTGTTGTGTGGTAGATGTTTTATGCACGAATTATACAGAGTGTTTGTTCAATTATTCGGTCGAACCTTGCAATGAGAAGTACGGTTAAATTTTTTCCAATTGTCACTGTGTATTTGATACAATAAATTCTCTCCAATTGTCGCTGTGTATTTAATACAGTAAATTCTTTACACACACAATTGTCACTGTGTATTTAATACAGTAAATTCTCTACAGTTGTCACTGTCTATTTAATACAGTAAATTCTCTACAATTGTCACTGTGTATTTAATACAGTAAATTCTCTACAATCGTCACTGTGTATTTAATACAGTAAATTCTCTGCAATTGTCATTCATAATTTTGAAAGAGGAGACTATTCGAGCCTCGCTTTTATTGTCGCCGAGGCTCGACTAATCTTGTCTCCTCTTCCCAAATTGTCCATTTCTGTCTACATATTGAGCGACAATTGGAGAGAATTACTGTATTAAATAAACTATACTAAATAGACACCGATTTTCTATATGAATCGTTTTCTGCAAGCTTCGACACGGTCGCTCGGCGGATCAACTTTCTACCAATCGATTCGTTAATTACTATTACAATTTTTGCCCGTTCATCGCGCGAGATTGCTTTCCAAGTATTCAAACACTCTGTACAGAAGCAACGGTTTGGTAATGGGCTGCCGAATGGTCTCGTCCGACTCTGTCGCTCGCCCCCCGTTCCACTAAACTCCCTAAGAATGATTTATTCGCGCGAATTCCTCGTAATTGAACTACACCCTTAAACGTTAAAATATTATTGTACCAATTTCAATGGATGAAATTCTTTCCCCGGCGGGTCGTAACACGGTTCGACTACTCTAAGAAAATTACGATCTCGCCCTGTAAAATCGACGGTACGGAGCAATAACAATGGAATGAGATTTATAAACGTATACATAAATCGTGTAGCAGTCGATGTTTCCGTGAATGCACAGGCATATAGTTTCTTATCCCGTATTTTCCCCCTTCAGTGACCCTCGTCGCCTTTATCTTTTACGGCGTTTTCCTCCGCGTCCGATGGAAAGAGTTGTCTTTCACCGTAGAATCCAGCGTTCTGTTCGCGGCTCGTTCTTGAATGATTCTTCGGAGAGTACATTGATTGTCGTGTCTAAGATTCTGTTGTGGAACATTGAATGTATTCGTGGGTATCGATGAACGTCGCTTTAACGGTATGATAAATTCGGTGACATCTTTCGATGACCGCTCGAATTGAATGGAGAAAGTTCTGCTTCGGTTCCACGCCGGATTCGTTGATGTATTTAACCCCTTCGGCACATTCGACGACCGAGACCCGTGCACTTGTTTTGCTCAAGTTACGAATGACGAGCCTAATTCGTCGTCCAAGCTTCTAATTATTGTGTTATGTTGCATCGCTCGAATAAATTTAATTTTCGCAGAAAATCTGCCGCCTTTATACGCTATTCCGCGCATCGGCAAATGAAATCCGAGTCGTGGAGTAGCTCGTGGATGAAATTGCACTCTGTGCTCGCCGTCATTCGGCGTTCATCGTCGGCGGAATACGTATTTAGCCGGCTGAACCAGTGAACGTGTGAAAATTACCGAAATCAACAACGCTTTATGAAATATTGTATATTTACTTTGCAAGGAACCCCATTACCGTCCGTAGTACATAAATATCGGATCGAATGAAAAATGCATTCGCGCTAATTTCAAGTGAACTTTAACACGCCGCGTCTTATATGCAAGCATCGGATATTTTTAAAACGGGATATTCTGAAGTATTGCCATTTTCGCGTAACGCGGTGAATACTCGCGCGAGTATGTATTCCGCGATTCGTCCTTAACTCGGGTATTGTCTAAATCGTATAAAATAATATACAGTATGTTACAATCCTTTTATACCGAACTTATAGTTAACAGAAAATGTTATTTACAACGTGAAATTATATCGCGAGCCGCTGGGCGACTCGCCGGATACGCGATTACAAAACCTTCTCGCTATCCTAAAACCTTCTCCTCGATGAAATTAGCTCCTTCATATGTATAATAGTTATCGATAGGCGAAACATTTCATGGAACAGGAGTAATTTAATTGAATAGTTCGTTGCACGTATTCGTAATTTACAACAGTTAAGTGATCGCAAATTAGACTAAGAGAAACTGAGAGTTACAACCCTAAGTTACAAACCTAGATGAACTATGATTACTCTCTCGTTAATATGCATCAGCTATGTACAGCACAAACTACTTATTTAGATGTGTGAAATAAACGAATTTTCACCCGGTCACTGGTCACCCAGCCATTTTACAAGTGCGTCGATCGGTGCGATTGCATCTGACAGATCTGTGTTGCTTTCCTTAGAGTACTTGTTCGACAGATTGTTATTAATTGTTTTGCAACAATTACGATCTCTATTTTGTTCTTTTAAACATTTACGGGACGCTAAAAGTCCTCGATAAGATACATTCTTTATTTTAACAATTTAACAGGCATCGACGCGAATAAGCGTTTCAATTAATTAGCAACGCGAGCGAAATTTTTATTCGTTCGCAATTATTTGGGCACGTGGTAATCATTTACCCATCTAATCTTGATCATTGTGAATAGTCTTCATCGAATTTGCACAATTCGAAGTTAAACAAATATTTCTGTTATGTTACACCGATAATTCCATTATAATAAGTCAACCCTAAAGGAAAGCTTTATTATTGAGCTTCTATAAAATTGTATGTTCCACCATCCGTGATCTAACGGTGAATTCACGAGACGCGGATGCATGTTTCTGTCGCGAGTGTTTCGCTATCGGTCGCAGTTCTCCATTCAAATCGAACCGTCAACATTCACAGTCTTGTTCTCAAGACTCGCGGTTTTAAGCGTCGACGAACCTTCGCGAGGCCAACTTCGTACAAATCTGGGCCAACTATTAATATCGGCCAGGATGGCGGCAAAGCGTGACTGACTTCTTAAAACAGGACACTCGGAAATCAGTTCGGAAATCTCGCAAACGATTATCTCTCGTCGGCGCGACGACAATTTCAGCTTCGCCGTCCGGTAAACAGAAATTATTCTTCGCAATGAGGATTAAAATTCGTCGCGCGTACCGTGCATCTGCCAATGGTATCGAACAATCTGAATTCACTGTTTACCGTGAAGAGAGAGAAAGAGAGAGAGAGAGATAGAGAAAGAGAGAGAAGTTTAGATTCAGAAAACATAACACGCGTAGAGTCGCAACGTATAATCTTAAGCACTTTTTTAATAATATCATCGTTAACGATCGTTTCGGTAGTAAATATAACCGAAGAAACAGAGGATACTTCGTCACGGTAATCATGCTTCGAATTAATTTATTTTCCTATCAACCTAAGATAAGTGATCGTGAAGTTCTCATCAATTATATACATTACTTATTACATATATACATCAATCACACATAATGCAGAAACAGCCTCTCATGGCGACTCCGATTTTAGGCTCCATCGCTGAACATATTCGAAAGACGTGTACCTCGAGAGCAGGAGTACGTGTGTGTATCGACGAAATATCAGCCACCAGTACAGCTGTTGGTTTTATTGTCTCCGGTTGGAAGTGAAAATTCGAATTCTGCGTTTGTCGTTTCGTGCGAGATCGTCTACGATTAAAAAATCAACACGCGATCGAGTTTGTTAGAATCACGGCGGCGTAAGTCGCATTCTCCTTGCACAAAGTGCGATCGTTTATTAACCGAATTTATTCTCAAGGTAATTTAGAGTTCAGTCAAACTATAATAGCTTTGTAATTTGTCTCATTTGTCCTTTTTAACATTTTTGTATTCCTTTGTATTCTACGAAGTGAGGCAAGATTTTTCGAAAATGTGTCCCACGCCGCTGCGATTCGAACCCCCGCTCGATTAACACCCTCCGGCCGGCTCTAAGGTGAAATCATAATTCTTTCGAGATTCTCGGCACTTTCTCGGGTCTGTTCACAGCCTTTGTCGCACGACGACGGTTCCTGTAACTTCACGCTTGACATTTGGACGACCTCCCTGTATCCGGCGTAATCGATAAATTTCATTTAAAATTTCAACCTCAATCGGAACTTGAAATCTTAAAGGTGAAATATTAAATGTCAGACACGACGATATCGTTAAGTGATTCATTCGGCTACCATCAATCGAACATAAGCGAGGAAAAAGTAAATATCACAAACGGTATAAAACGAAGCGGCCATGAGAGGACATCCGTGTTTAGAATGTTAGCGTTTAAGAAAATGTCTTTTGTAAGCAGAGCTGGGCATATTGTTCCGACTCGAATAAATATTTATCGAGCAATCGTGTATTTATTCGAACGATTCTTCCGTTTTTCATTCGAATAAATTATTCCAACAGAGATTGTAAAATTATTCGAATAGCGATGCGAGCAATTGTTGACCGTTTTCCACGTCATTTTTTAAGGATACACGTGCTGTAAATATGAATCCTGGAATGTGTACGATGACGTCCTTTGCACCTGGCGAAACATTATTAACAATCTACCCAAAAGTAACAAACAATCCGATGCAGCATTGAAAGAAGAAAGTTAATCGTAAAAATTGACACGGAGAGAGAAATTAATCAATAAACTACTGGGAAGAGAGAAAACTATATTCTATAATTTTCATTCGAATTGATTATCTTCCCAAATTAATTGCTACACGAATAAATTCTTATTTCAACATCTCATCCAGATGAACTATTATTCGAGTAAAAACTTATGCGGATAAATCGTTATCCGGATGAATTTCTATTCGATCCGATAATTTATAGCCGATAATATCGAATAAAATTGTATTCGTTTATTATTAAAATTTGATCCGCGTCTCTTACCTGCCGTCCGAGTCGAATTCTGCCCAGCTCTGTACGTGAGCGCGCGTTCGCGCTGGTTTTTCACAGATGCTGTTTCTATCCGATCTGTCTGTACAAAATTACAAACCCTCGTAATGAATGAATTCGAGACTATTGTTCGACACGGGGGCGACAGCTGCGAATAATTCGACATGAAAACCGACGGTATCCATCCATCCATCCTGAAAACGCGTTCTTCTCGTCGAAAGAGTTATCTCTTCCTCGCGGATGTCTTCGCCGAGTTCTCCGATGCGAACGTCGCGGCGTACCGTCCCTTCCTCCAATATCTTCGCTCGATGATTGAAAATGATCCGGAGAAAAACGATCGTATCGAAACGAAGGAAACATTTTTTTTCTTTCAATGAGATGACACGGACTAGTCGAGGGGGGGTCTCTAATTGTAAGGCAATTACTTGACAAATTGTCCTCGTCGTGGATTATACACTAATTTGGGTGTTCGCGAAGCAGAGTCGATAATTGAATCTCTGTCAATAATCGGTTAACAGACCGTTGACCTCTCTCTATATACCCCCGTTTAACTCTGATCTTGCAGTCACTGGCTGTGATATCACCTAACCCTTTGGTCTGGTTACAATGCCGCGATGTCGCATGTGGTCGTCGCCGTTCACTGAACCTCGAACCAGACTGCGTTGGGTTCCTTATGAGCTAGTTTTTCTTGGCAAGCATGCCATGACTGTATCCCCGAAGAAGAAAAAAAAACCCGATGAACCGATCGCCCGACAACAAATTGTTCGAACCCGTTGTTTTCGTCGAGCAACAGATATCTATCTATCTTCTCGCCTCTATCCACGATCCCCGCCGTCTCTCTCGTTTCTCGTCGATCCTAAATTGATGGGGGTTCTTTGTCGCAGCGATGCACAAATCCGTGTTGCTGTTGGGGTCATCCACTCGAGTGCTCGGGAAGCAGTATGCTAACCGACTTGCGATTCGCTGATCCGTTGGTAATCACGCTGGTTGCAGCAAGGGCTGACGGAGGTCGATGCGATGGAGCGACCACACGCACTTCCGGTCTAGGGGACGCTTCTCGCAGCGGGCTGCCTACGTTTGCTAGGTCATCTGCGTTCGCTAACGCGGAGGCTCTGAAATTCAAAATGTTCGGTTGAAGTTTCGACCGCCTGCAGCGCACGCATCTCTTACAAATATCGGGTATTCTAAGTGTCCTAAGAGTAGGTGAGGTGATATCTCGTCGGATTGTGATAATGCGGAAAGAAGCGTCGCCAACTCTACGGATTTTCAATGCAGGATGTCCGAAATGTTATTTGAAGCAACTTTTTCCTTGGCGAAAATGCGATCCGTGGCTTCGTTCGCGAGTTATCAGCGAAACACGGTGACCAACGAGAGGCGAGATCGGTCGGCGCGAGGCGGAGTTCCGCTCCCAGTTCCGCCCCGCGTCGACCGAGCTCGCCTCTCATCGGTCGCCGGAACTGGGAGCGGAACTCCGCCTCGCGCTGGCCGTGCTCGCCATTGGTCGCCGTTTTTCGCTAATATCTTGTAAACGAAGCCGCGCATTGCGTTCGCGCCGAGGAAAAAGTTGCTTCAAATAATCCCAGGAACCCGTCGCTTCCCGATTTCGAGCGCCTTTCGAGACACCCCGTATAAAACATTTGACAATTCGATGAATTAAAATGAAACTGACACTTCGGTTCGATTACGATTTGTCCCACGTGTATTAAAATCTGCTACACGTCTAACGAATACCTATTCTCCGCTTTTCGTTTACTATGCCTCGGTCCGTTTAGTATGCACAGAAGGCAGATTGCATTTTCTCTTCCGGAAAAAAATATTAACAAGCCGCAACTATCGATATTCCGTGGTACGCGTCGCTTTTGATCAATATTCATGGTTCTGCGAATCCTTCGAACGTGAAACGATACGTCGCGAAATAAATATGCAACATTATTAGAGATCTTTTAGTTACGGTGATGTAAGAAAATGTTTAAGGAATCGTTTAACCGGTCTTCTAAGAGGAATATATACATATATGTTACAAACGAGTATATTTTCTTCTTCCTTGTACTATTTGGCGAAACATATTCAACGAAACATATTTGTTCGAACTGTGCAAAGTTTTTGTAGAGTAAACAAAAACTTGTAATCAATTTTATTCGAATGCAGTTAATTATTTGACGTACGATCAGAGATAGCAGGCACATTTAAATGGACATCCGTTGCATAAACGATCCAGTAATACGATTAGCTTGTTTCGCAACATGATTCTATAAATAACAATTCTATTACAGTTATAATCTCCCTTTTTTGTTATAATTTGCCTCTATTGTTCATGTTAAATGCCGACACTGTCGTTGTCATTCACGAAGCGTTCGTTGAGAAATGTCGAGTACGCCAAGATCATTTTAATTCTCAATGAGTGTCTTGCATATTTCATTAACCAGGTGTACGCTCATGCAAATAATCGACACAAGTCACTTCTAAAAAGAGATGCCTGGCTTTTCTAGAACGAATGCGGATATACGGAAGGAAATTGGCTGCCTAAAAGTGTGCTACGTTTCTGGAAATTTTTTTCAAGCATAATTAACCCTTTGCGCTCGAGTGGCACCGCCCGGCACTGCCCGGGGCGCCACTAAAAATTGCTATACTATTTTTCAAGATAACTGCAATAGTATCGGACTCGTTTGTAATCTAAAAGACTGTTAAAATTGCAAGTTTCGTGCTCGCTAATAAGCTTCCATATGCATAAATCGCAATAAATCATATAAAACAGAAACATCGTAGATCAGAAAATATGTTTAAAATATAATTGAAATAGCTTCGAGTGCAGAGGTTTAATAAGTGAAAAATTTAGGCCTTTTATAATAAACGTCGACGTAACTTTTAACTGCATTTTTAATTATTCAAAAAGGAGATAACATGAAATATCAGAGTTATCGACTGTTTTTAGAAAGTACCATCGGTGTATCACTAAATTATTAACATGGCTGACAAAAGATAAAATGTCAGAGATGAACAAAATTTTGTATTAGATGAGAACAAAATTTTTAAGTGGAGGAGACGCTATGTTACAGAGAGCAAATTTTAACTATGTTACAGAGAAAATGTTAAACAATATTTGAGTTGTTTATCTATACATGTATATACAGGGTGTATCTGAAAGACTGCACACGCTCAATCTACTCATCGGATACTGTCCTGCGAAGACTAAAAACAGTTTCACTCTTTGGAAACTTCCAAACTGGAAAAGTTAAATTGCTGTTGCGATTCATGTGTCATCGACCCGAAGATGCCACGCTGCGTTCAACGAGTCCGTCGAGCGCACGTCTCTATGTGTCGCAATTAGGTCCAGTTGCCGTAATTCATTAGATGCATCATCGCCTTTTCCAAACAATTTTCAGGTATTCGCATTATTTTCAACGTTGATTTTAATTTGTGTTTCGACCAGTTCAGTAAAAATAACGTTAAATTAAAATCTTTGAAAATGTCCATTCGACCCTTCCATAGAAATAATGTTATACCGAAATTTTGAAAGCTGTCTTTAGTTAAAATAGCGTTAAATTAAATTAAAATAGAAAAGATGTCTTTCGATCTCTCTAATAGAGAAATTTGGCGGAAAAAATACCAAGAAAATTCAGTAAACGTGAAAGCGATTGCGTGGCAAATATATTTGTCGTTTACTAAAATATGCTCAATGTAGAGAGTAAAGAATTTCTACTTTTTATTGAACTGTTAAAACGTATGCGTGAAAGTTGTTCTCAACATTCATTATACAATTCATTCTAATCCTTTAAACACTTTCTCAATTAACTGTTCTTTTTTTAAAATATCGTTTCCAGGAGATCATTTTACATTTAAAACACTTGGAGATATAATTATAAAATTACTGATAAAATTACAAAAAATTGTAAATATAATTGTATGCGCTTAAACCAGACATCGTCTTTTAACGAGATCTCTTCTGTAATCAAAAAGCAAGCGAAATATTCGAAGTTGTTTGTACGAACGCAGTCGCATATCGAGCACGTTTATTGCATAAATGAGCACCGCGTTAATCACAGTGGGCAAGTAACGATCCTGTGTTCGGGTCGACGCATTGCTTCTACATAAATTCGCGATACGATATCAATGGGCTATTAATGGATATATCTGCAATATTCCATGCGATTTTATTTAAACTGCAGAGATAAACTGCCGTCTTCGTACGCGAGAACAATGTGGCGCCGCGTATTAATTACTTTCGCTGACTTCTCTTTCCCGAATCGCAAAGCGTCATTCCGCTCGACAGTCATCGCGGTCCGAGAGTCTCGACAGGTTTTCAAACGAAATTACGCACGGTTATTTCGGGCCCCTGAAAGAAATTCGAAGAAACGCGCGCGCGTCTGACATTTCTTCCGTCGTATCTAAATCTCTCGTAGTTATTCCCCGGCTCCTACGCTTTCCGCGTAGTTATTCCGCCTCCTCTTGTTTATTCGATATTTGTTCAACGCGGCGGTAGGAGGCAACGAATAAAGAAAAATTACCTACCTGTGTTGCGGGGGCGGCGTAGGCGTTCTTGATAGAGGAAAACTGGCGACTTCTCTCGTCACCGATAGCGAGCGAATCGATCCGAATGTTTGGTCCGGGGATAAATTAGCACCGACGCTTTGCACCATCCCGCTACTGAAACAGATCGTTTAAGTCAATTTGCATATATGTACGCATACAATAATTAGAAAATAAATTTTCATAGTTAATGATATTTTTCTTTTAATGTTACATATTGTATATACATATATTTATATATATTATATTTTATATTATATTTTACGTATATTGTATTATACTATTATTCTATATTAATATATTCTATATATTATAATATTATTATTCCTCAATAATATATATTATTATATTTTATATTATATTTTATATATATATATATATATATATATATATATATTTCTTTTAATATTAATTACATTAATATTATCGCCTAATATTTCAAAGCTTCGAGCTTCAAAATCGGTCAAGTTTAATTACTCTTCCCAACTGCGGATTTGATGTATTTGTTACAAACTCAAGAAGTTAAGCGTAAAAAAAACTGTGCAAAGATTAAGCGAGCTTAAGAATTTCAGCGTGATATTTTTTACTTATCGCTATTGTCAACGCTAAATCTACCGATGCGATCGAAACGAACGATTCCGCATCACTCGTTTTAAAATATTGCAATTGATTGAATAAATTCCTCGATTCTAGCATACATTGTCGCAAAAAAAGAAGGCACGTAAAAGGTGTTCTCTCTCACCCTGAAGAAACAACCGCTAATAAAAATGGCTGAGAATTTCTGTTAGGGTCCCCATAACGAACCGGCACGGTTTCAAAAACATCGGTATTTTCGGGTTGCCGAATGTCCCTTGTCAGTTGTCAAATGAAAATTATAAAAAACGACTGCATATGCGTCGGCCAGGATACCATGGAAGGCTCGGATCAATACCCTTTCCAGAGCAGGTAGGAGCTTCTATAGCGATTCCCGTCTGGTCTCGATGGAAGGGAAAATACTTGGGCGAGGTGTATAGTTGTAGGTATACAGGGTGTTCTGACGGTGCTCGAACACATTCGAATGCATCCTGGCTTATTCCGTCACGAGAAATTGTATTAACAATGGAACTACCAAACCGGTCGAAACGACTGGTTATTTTCTTGTACAATTGCCGATATTATAGAAATATTTCTCGGAGAAATTTTTAGGTACACTTTCTTTACTCATAATATAAATATATTATAAATGTAGGTTAAATATAGATTAGTATTTTATTATTATATTAGGGCTCGATAGTTCTAGTGTTAATTACATTTATTAACTATATATTATTATTATATAGTTGATATAATAACATTTATATATGTTATTACTATATTATTATTATTATATATAATATAATTATTAATATAATAAGTTAATAATATAATAATTATTATATAAAATTTAATATCATATTATATAATTTTACTTATTATATAAAATATTATAGAACACTGAAGTTGATTCGACCACGTCAGAAAGTAAATTCGTATCCTTCGTTCATAGATGTGGAACGCGACAATTAATGACGCTACATTGTTCGAAAAACGAAACATAATAAACGTCGATTGATTTCATTATTTTCGTACGTGGAATAGGCATCGGTTATTAAATGATTCGCTTCGTGTTGCCTTTTCAAACGAGAAGTCGTTATCGGCCGACGCCGCGAGTACATATATGTATACTGTGTTACGCTGATCAACATACTTTTTTGTCCAGATTCTGGCGAGACGCCCTATATAGCAGCGAAATCGAACATTTTGAGATGCCGACTTATGAATTATTCAATATGAGGTTGCAAGCCAGAACGTCGAAGTTGTAGTCGACAAACCGGCTCCCCCCCCCCCCCCCC